GAGCTTTCGGGGACTACTGTGTCTAGCAGCACTCACAAGCAAATAATCCCACCCTGAGAAGCTGCATTGAGCGATAAGAGGAGGGGAACTAGCCTGGCAGAGCATATTCCTTGCTGCCACACACGATAAGGAAAAGGAATTTTTTCATATGGAGTCAGAATTCTCTGCTGAGATTCCCTCCTAGATCTTTCCTGAGCTTGCTGACTTTATTAGCCTATTTAGTACTAGTGGTATGCTTGAAATTATTATTTTGTAGCTAATATACTGAATGACAGAATCTGGATTCAAAAAATGAGGGAGTGAATCTGACAAGACAACATTTAATCCAGAAAAAATAGAAGCAGCTATACTTAGGCTAAAATTAAAATGATATACAGAAGTGTATTAACAGCTGGATGTATGAAACAGTTCTAAAGGATTTCAGCTGACTGGGACTTAAACTGGATTCAATTGTGTGATGTAGCCTTCACAAAATCTACTATGATCTTAAGATGTATCTAAACAAGGGGGGGACAAAAAAAAACCCAGAATTATCTTTTGGAGACCAAGCCCCTTGTCGTACACTCAGAATCTGTTCCTATCGATAAAATGGACAACTGAAGTTTTTACACGGAAGTTTTCAGAAGGTTGTGTCACGATTTGCAGAAGAAACGTTCTGCATTGTGGCAAACAGGTGACTAGTTCTTCCACCATGATAATGCACCTGCCCATATTGTGCTGACTGTTCAGCAGTTTTTGACCAAAAACGGCACGACCCCCATGCCCTACCCTCCCTATTCACTCCATCTCATCCTGATTGACTTTTTTTGTTTGTTTCCCTGGATGAAAAAAGTCCTCAAAGGGAAATGTTTTGCTGATGTGGAAGAGGTGAAACAAAAAACAGCAGAAGCACTAAAAGACATCAAAATTGACGAGTTCAAAAACTGTTTTGAGCAGTGGAAAAAAGTCTCAATAGGTGTATTGCATCAAACGGAGAGTACTTTGAAGGTGACTGAAGTTTAAACATGTAAGAATAAATACATATTTTTTAATAAATAAGTTTCAATTTTTGTGCTGAAAAGAAAAAAACAGACCATTATGAAGTGGGGCAAAAGATATGAATAGACACTTCTCAAAAGAAGACATACAACCAGCCAACAGATACATGAAAAATTGCTCGGCCTCACTGGTCATCAAAGAAATGAAAATTAAAACCACACTGAGATAACACCTAACTCCAGTCAGAATGGTCATCATCAATAACTCAAAAAACAACAGATACTGGAGAGGATACGGGGGAGAAAGAACACTTCTACACTGTTGGTGGGAGTGTAAACTGGTACAAACTCTGTGGAAAACAGTTTGACAATTCCGAGAAGATCTACAAATCGACCTTCCATATGACCCTGCAATCCCCCTACTGGGAATATACCCAGAGGAACTCAAATCACTCTATGAAAAAGATACCTGTACATGTATGTTCATTGCAGCATTGTTCACAATAGCAAAAACATGGAACCAACTATGCTGCCCACTGAAAGAGGACTGGGTAAAAAAATGTGGTACATATACATGATGGAATATTACACAGTCATAAAGAAGGACAAAATTATGAACTTCACAGCAACTTGGACTTAGAGTCTATAATATTGAGTGATATATCACAGAAACAAAGAACTGAGTATCACATGTTCTCACTCATAAGCAGAACTTAAACAATTATCGTAATACTACAAGAAAAGGATTGACAGTAGCAGGAAACCGTGGGCTGGGAAGAAGGGGGAGAAGTGGGATTGGCAGTAGTGGGAATCTGCGGGGGGGGCACACCTCATCAACAAGGGTACCTGCATAATGAACATTTGTATACCTAATCCTGAATTGTATCCCACATCTTTAAAATAAAGACATTTTTTAAAAAAAAAAGATCAAAAGGGAAAGAAAAGAATTGGCAGTAGTGGGAATCTTCCAGGGGCAGGGAGGGGAGGCACACCTCAATCAACAAGGGTACCTGTATAATGAACATTTGGATACCCAACCCTGAATTATACCCCACATATTCAAAATTTTCAAAATTGTTTTTAATTGTTTATTTTTAAAAAATTTACACGTCTCCCTTGTAGATGTGTGGTACCTATTCAAGAATGAAGGGGGTGATAAGATCACACCATTCTGCACTAGGCAGAACATTCGGTATTTTCAGAGACATTTACAAATTCAGGAACATGTAGAATGGTGACTGACTTTTTTTTTTTTTTTTTGAGTCAGAGTCTCACTCTATCACCCAGACTGGAGTGCAGTGGCATGCTCACAGCCACTGCAGCCTAGACCTACTGGGCTCAGGTGATTCTTCCACCTCAGCCTTTCAAGTAGCTGGAACTGCAGGCTAGTGCCACCACACCTGGCTAATTTTTTGATTTACTGTAGAAATGAAGTCTCGCCATGTTGCTCAGGCTGGTGTCGAACCCCTGAGCTCAGACAATCCTCTCATCTCTGCCTCCCAAAGTGCTGGGAATACAGGCTTGGGCCACCACACCTGACCTGGTGACTGACTTTGAAAAAATATGTCACATCAGAAATAGCTGAAGTAACTGGGGAAGTTAAACCTAAAAAAAGTCTTGGTGAGAACATAACTGTTTACCAATTGTGGGAAATAGCATACTGAAAATATTTAGCACAATACCCAGCATAAAGTGCTCAATTAAAATTAATATAAGAATGTTAATTAGTATTCTTAGCATTATGCCATACTATTATTGTTACTATTATAACAGTTAATGCTTATGGAGTGTATTCTATGTGCACTATTCCAGGTCCTTTATATGTTGGCTCATTGACTCATTTACTGCTCTTACAATCCTATGAGGCAGGTACTGCTATTGTCTCCAAATTTGTAGATGAGAAAGCTGAGTCACAGGAAGAGTAAGCAGAATGTCCAGTGTGTCTCACAGATGGGAAAGGGAAAGAACCAGAACAGAAACCCTGGCAGTTTCAAGCTATCATGTGTAAAAGTCACTTCTGTTATTTTATACTTGTTCTGTATTACTGCAAAGGGCAGAGCTAGGACCAACATGTCTAAACTACTGGGAGGCAGATTGCAACTCAACAGAAGCAAAAGTAAATAAATTAATTAATTTTAAGATTTTAATTATCAGAACTGTCTGAAATTTCAATGAGATGTCTTATAAGGCAGTGAGTTCTCTGTGAAGAACGAACAAAATGGGACTCGATACAAAACCATACAAATGAGAAACAAATCCTGATGAAAAAATAAAGAAGGCATAGTTAAACTTGGTTTTAAAGCCACACATCACAGAAAAATTGGAAAGTAAAACAGTTATGGAAAAAAGGTAAACTAATATTCATCTAGCTGCTATTTCAACACAAAGCAAATGAAATGTCAGAGAAAATAAGAAAAAATTCTTTAAAAAGAGAAACTTTACATATGAATTCCTGTTGGGAAACTTTAACTAAACAACCTGGGTTAAAAAAAAAAAAAATTCCAGGATCCTCACAGATCTGATGGCCACCGCCACCCAGTCTGAAAGTATAAAAGGCAGAGGGAGTAAGAGTAGTCTGCTCACTGAAGGAAAGGATATTTGCACAAGAATGTAGCATCCAAGCTGATGTGAATAGGTAAGAAGCAGGTGGAGGTTGAAGATCATAAAACACCATTAGGTCCAAAAGCACATACTTGAAACGACAGTTGAGTATGCTAGCATGATTTTAATCCTGCTACTCTGTATGTGGTCAACAGAATTATTGCATAGCTTAATACTGAATGTCCTTTCTGCTTCATCTATTTTGGGGGATACAGCAGTCCCAGAACTCAAATATTTGTTAATTTAATGAATTAATATAAACTTTTCTCAACCAGAATCACCAAGAGGTGGCTGGCTAAGGATTTAGTGGCCCAGGAAAATCTATTTCTTCTATTATGAATAACTATTGAATAATTTATGTATATATACATATACATATAATAAATATATAATTACAGAGAGAGAGTTAGAAAGAGAACTATGCCAGCCTCCCCACCAAGAACTATCCCATTTAGAATAATAAGTAAGTTTCCTGGGCTATTTTTACTTAGATGGACAAATATGTATTTTGATTTATGAAAATCAAAGTATTCAGTCTTTTAGGTTTACATACTTTGTAAACTTAACTCTATCTACAGGTCTAAAACGGAATGATTACCAATATACATTGGAGCTGCTCTTTATGATATAGATCTGGGGCCTCAAAAACCAAACTGTGATGCCAAGGAAAAGTGAAAAAGTGTCTCCCATGAAAGTGACAAGAGAAAAATCACGCTAGCCGGGCTCGGTGGCTCAGCCTGTAATCCCGCGCCTTTGGGAGGCTGAGGTGAGTGGATTGCCTGAGCCCGCGGGATCGAGACCCGCCTGGGCAGCGAGACCTCATCTCTACAATAAATCAAAAAAGCAGCCGGGCGTGGTAGCGCATGCCTGTAATTCCAGCTACTTGGAAGGCTGAGGCGGAAGGATCGCCGGAGCCCAGCAGGTCGAGGCTGCGGTGGCCGGGAGCGGCCACTGCACTCCAGTCTGGGCGACAGAGTGAGACTCCAACTCAAAAAAAAGAAAAAAAACGCTGATAGAGCTTAAATGGACATGATGGCATTATGGATATGGATTAAAAGAGAGAGTGTTGGAATATGAAGATATGGTATCGATTTATAAAGGTGCAACAGTCAAATATCAGTGCAGAATCTAAACTGCAGGGAAAATAAGGGGCCTTGGTGGCTGAGGAAGGGAGGGTGGGAGAGAGGTGGAGGTGGTACTAGGGGAAGCAGCAGAAAGGAAGAGACGATAATACCTGAGACTAGATGCTAACTCTCTCTGGCAACCAGGAAAAGGCAAACACAAACAAACAAAGACAGGTAAGTGAAAATGCCTGGTGTGTTTGGGATCAGGAGACACCGGCAAGTTGCTGCAGCACGACCGCTGGTTAAAGTGGTAACAGGGGATTTGAGCTCGGCAGTGACGCGCGGCCGTCACGTGACCAGGAGCCTATGTCTGCCCAAGTCCCTCTTGTCCTGGTCCTTTTTGCTTGTCCAGAGACGGTCTCCCTATTACCCTTTGGTCGAGAGGGAAAGCAGAAGGAAGTAAGTTCCCTCTATCTTCTCACACTGGTGTGAGTGTCGCAGCTGCCTAGTAAGCCCTGGGTTCGCACCGGGATGGCGGAGTCCAGGCCTTGCCCGATGCTCCAGCCCCGCCGCCCGCGCCCACATTTCGGTGCAGAAAATGGTGGTCTTGGGAGCGGGGTGGGGAGGTGAGTGGGGCCCCCCTGGGAGGGAAGAACAGACACTTCCAAATAGTTTCTAAGCAATGCTTCGCCTCCACTTCCCACCTGAAAAGAAATGACGAGTTTTGCGGGGTGGGGAGCTGGAGGCACAGAGGACCAAGCTTGATGCGGGGTCCGAGGCGGGAAGAGAACCCGAAGAGAACTGGTGTGAAGGCCGCGGCCGGTACCCAGAGAGGAGGTGGGGGTGTCAGTCAGTCCGTCCCGCCTCCCCACTCCCCGCCCCCTACCCTGTTTCGCGTCTGTCTGCAGATCTGCAGGTCACAGCGGGGCACCTCGCGGAGAGGACGACTAGGAGCACACGACCCGGAGAGGTCCAGGTGGGGGAAGGGGGGGACGCCGAGTGGAACGGAGTCTACGGGCCCCACTGCCCCGCCCCTGTCATCGCGGGCGAGGCCCGTAGCAAGGCCTGCTGGGAAAATGGTGGGCTTTCGGGAGGGAGGGGCGGCCGGGAGCAGCGGGGTCTGGAGTAGTCCTACGAAAGGCGCGGGTTGGAGGACCGGGGCCAGAATCAGGAAAAGGCAGGTATTGGAACCCATGGCCAGGGTGCTGGCCCCGCCGCTTAGTATTCTGACTCTGCTCTGCCTTTCTTGTCTCCTAAGAGTAACTGCTTGAAGAAGAGTCCCAGCATGGAAAAACCATGCCAAGAAAACGAAGAACAGCCGCAGAGCGCGCCGAAGACCGACGAAGAGCGGCCTCCGGCGGAGCACTCTCCCGAAAAGCAGTCCCCAGAGGAGCAGTCTTCGGAAGATCAGTCCTCAGAGGAGGAGTTCTTTCCAGAGGAGCTCCTGCCCGAGCTCCTGCCCGAGATGCTGCTTTCGGAGCAGCGCCCTCCGCAGGAGCAACTTTCCAGAAAGGACCTGTTCGAGGAGCGCCCTCCCATGGAGCAGCCTCCGTGCGGAGTAGGAAAACATAAGCTAGAAGAAGGCAGCTTTAAAGAAAGGCTGGCTCGTTCTCGCCCGCAATTTAGAGGGGACATACATGGCAGAAATTTAAGCAATGAGGAGATGATACAGGCAGCAGATGAGCTGGAAGAGATGAAAAGAGTAAGAAACAAACTGATGATAATGCACTGGAAGGCAAAACGGAGCCGTCCTTATCCTATTTAATGTGTTCGGCCTTTAATTCTGTTTTGCCTGCAAATAGTATTGCCACCTGAACCTCGTTTGCATTTTCTTATATGCCTTTTCCCAGCTTCCTATTTTTTACCTTTTGTGTGGCTTTATTTTAGGTTTTTAGCATGTAACTGGCATAAAATTGGAGAGGGGTTCCCCCTAAGATCTTCAAGTCTCCCCTTTTCAATCATGAGTCCTACCCATTTGCATGAAAAGATGTACATTATATAGTTATTGTGAGGCTGAAAAAGCGATTTTCAAATGGCATCTATACTATCCCTTTTTTGTTTTAAAAAAAGTTACATATAGGGCCTAGTGTGATGGCTCACAACTTTAATTCTAGCACTTTGGAAGGCTGAGGCAGGAGGATCGCTTGAACCGAGGAGTTTGAGACCAGCTTAGGCACACATAGCAAGACTTCGTCTCTACAAAAAATTTTAAAAATTAGCCGGGCATGGTGGTGCACTTCTGTAGTCCCAGCTCCTTGGGAGGCTGAGGAGGAAGGATCATCCAAGTCCAGGATGTCAAGGCTGCAGTGAGATGTGATGGATCCACTGCACTCCAGCCTGAGTAACAGAGTGAGACTCCGATTTTTTAAAATGTATATTTATATATTAATATACAAAGAAAAAATTAAAAATATATACTTCAAAGGCATAACAGTAGCTACTTGTGGTAACATAATAGGTGATTTGTTATTTTAAAAATTTTTGCTTTTATCTGAATTTCTCATTTTTTCAAAATGAACACATGTTACTTGTGTTGAGAAAAAAACCTATTTAATGAAAAAACGTGATGCAATTTTGAAAAAACTGTCAATCAGCTTATAAAGACAATGTGGCACTTAATAAATATTTGTCAGAATTTAAAAAAAGAAAAATGAATCCTATGTTTCTTCCGAATCTCTTAGGCAGAAATATAAACCAGGTGTTTATTATATTTGTTTAGGAGTCTTTTTACTCAATTTTTATAGTAATAATATTTACTTTACAGTGCTTCTGTGGGACTAAATGAGAAAAAGATTGTGTGAGCAATGTTTCCCCCCACCCCCACCTGCACATGTAGGACATCCATCTCTATAGATTCCCTGAAAACATAGGGGATTGTACCCAAAGGAGGTGTCTCTTGTGCTCACAAACAATTCCTGTGAGACCCAGGTGAATTCCACATTCTGTTTCTGTCCTGCTATACTCTAGGATACAGCCATTCTACTAGGCACAGCTGCCCTTTCTCCTGGGTCCTGATCCTTCCACTGGCCTTTCATCCCTGCCTAGGTACTGGAGTCCTCAAGGTACAAAGCCTCACTGATTACTCTGGAGTCCCTGGTAGGTCAAAGTGAACTGTGTCTCCTACAGATACGAGTGTGAACCCCCCAAAAACCAGAATTATCTTTTGGAGGGCGTGCCCCTTTTAGTAAAGGTTTCCCCCACTCGGTAAGTGTTCTGGGAATCATCAGCATCAGTGTACCATCTAGCATTGTTGTGAGAGTCTGTTCAGCTTCAGTGAATTTTGTTTGTTTTTTGAGATTCTTTCAACGCATTTGCCAATTTCATGGTGGGTGATTTAAGAGCACACCTGCCCACACCACACTGAGTGTTCAGCAGTTTTAACCAAAAATGGCATGATTCCCCATGCCCCACCCTCCCTATTCATGCAATTTCATCCCAGGCAACCTTTTTTTGGTTCATTTCCCTAGATTAAAAAAAAAGTCCTCAAAGGGAAATGTTTTGCCGATGTGGAAGAGGTGAAACAAAAAATGGTAGAAACACTAAAAGGCATCAAAATCAACACGTTTAAAAGCTGTTTTGAGCAGTAGAAAAAGCGTCTCGATAGGTGTATTGCATCAAACGGAGAGTACTTTGAAGGTGACTGAAGTTTAAACATGTAAGAATAAATACACAATTTTTATAAGTAAATCCCAGTTTCTTTTGGGTCCCCCTTTGTAGATGGAGAATGTACCTCTTCCAGCTTTTCTATTACACTTAGCTAGGAGGATACCATCCTAGCTAAGTCTTCAATGTCTTCAATGTCTTCAAAGAATGCTTGGTAAAATAGTTCTTTTCATTTTTTCCCCTTACATTTAGCCTTTTCTCCACTGAATGCAAGCATGAGTCCACTGGGACCTGGGCTAGAAGACAAATTTGTGAGCCTGACACCATGCTGCATACTCAGAACTGGAACCTCCCTCCCAAATATCCAAGGATAACTATGATTTATTTGCCTAATTTGCCTTAGGGTGTGTTCTTGTAGCAGGCTTGCCTTATCAATTCAGCTGAATTGCTCAACTTTTATAATTAAAGAGGAAAATAATGCTTAGACTCTAACTAGGACGTTCCACTTCTATACCACTCCATATCAGCAAGAAACATGCAAAAGTACTTTGTATGACATTGAGGTACTATATATTTATATGTATATAAACACATATCAGATATAATTATGATTTAATCTGTTAAGCTACCTTTATAAATGCTAAAATTTTGTTTTATTGATGCTGTTAATGCTAGAAATAGATAGTGGTTTATAACTTTTAAAAATTATAGCCCAGGCCAGGCTCCATGGCTCAGCCTGTAATCCCAGCACTTTGGGAGGCCGAGGCGAGTGGATTGCCTGAGCCTGCGGGTTCGCGACCCACCTGGGCAACTTGGCAAGGCCTTGTCTCTACAATAAATCAAAAATTAGCTGGGCGTGGTAACACGCACCTGTAGTTCCAGCTACTTGGAAGGCTGAGGTGGAAGGATTGCCAGAGCCCAGCAGGTAGAGGCTGCAGTGGCCGGGAGCGTGCCACTGCACTGCAGTCTGGTTGACAGAATGAGATTGCAACTCAAAAGAAAAAAGAATTATAACCCAGCCATGAACTCCGAGTTTCTAGTTAATTGACCATGTAAGTGTCAGTATGTTTTACTTCTCTAGAACTATGATTTTCAGTTCCAAAAGGAACACAGTACGGGAGGGATCGTTTCTCCAAATTCAACATTGAAGTTATGTCAATATTGTTTACATCAGTGTTTCTCTCACAAAACAATATAGAAACCTGGGCTCTATCCCAGACCCACTAAATCTACTTTTCTGTAAATTAGCACACTAAAGTTGGAGAGCCACTGGTATACACAATATCCTCCTAATTTTAGTAAAAAATAAACTGTAAACATACCAACTTAGGCAACCTAGTGAAACCTTGTCTCTACAAAAACATTTTAAAGTTAGCTGGATGTAGTGGTGTGTACCGATAGTTCCAGCTACTCAGGAGGCTGAGGAGAAAAGATTGCCTGAGCCCATGTGGTTGACACAGTGGTGAGCTGTGATCATGCCACTGCACTCCAGCTTAGGCAACAGAGTGAGACCGTGACTCAAAAAAATAAGTAAACTGTGACATAACTAGAAGAAAATATAAATATTTGTGTCAGAATTGAAAGAGTATAAGTGTTATTCAAGCACATTTTTAAGTAAGAAACTAAAGACAACCTCACCAATTTTGTAACATAAAATTTAGAAGATTCATTGCGGCAAAGCAAGGCCATACACAAGATAAAAAGTTAAGATGTGACTTATCAGAAAGATAAAGATTTTTTTTTGAAAGATGTATTTTCAACGACCGACATTATGTAATGCCTTACATTTCTTTCTTCCAAAATAAATGCATCAGAACTAAATTCAAAGTTCTCCTTTAGTATTTATCTCAAAAATGGTTGAGCCAGCACTGTGTCCTTGGCATTATTTTGTTTTAAATTTTCACTGTATAATGCCATTTAGAAAATCTTCATGTCTCCAGACCATTCTTCAAGGTGATGGCAACTTGATGCATGTTGATTGGACTGGATGGATCCAGATTTTGGTTGGAGTGGGATAAGGTTCTAGGCTCACTGGAGCCAGTTTTACAAGACAGGATAAATCCATTGCCCTGGCCCTCAAAGGTACAACATGGGAAGGCTCACCTAAGCCACACTCCTCTTTAGGGTGAATCTGACTTTTGTCTCTCTGCTCCAGCCTGCAGCAGGCATGAGGCCCTTCTAGACTGACAGCCAGGCTGTCCTGGACAGACATACCTAGAAGAGGATGACTGTCTCATTGTAGGTTGGAGCACTTTGCCTTTCCTTTTTTCTTTTCCTTTCTTTTTGGGGGGACATTTTGTAGGGGAGGAGCTAAAGCCCTGTAGCTCCCTAACTGGAAGCATTAGCTGGGATAGTCTTTGAGCAAGCAGATACCTGAGTTGGTCTGACCAGGTAGCTCGGGTTGAAGGAGAAGGCTGACTCTTCTCTCAGAGTTCAGTGAAGTAGACCCCAAAATAATTGGAGCAAGCATGAGGTTAGACACATGAAAGTGGGGTTAGTACATAAAACCTCACCCAGCCCTATTCCACCAATCTTGTTCAGACTCCCAGAAGGACCTCAGATGTGCCCTGGCCTGTTTTGATATTTGGAACGACTCCAGCTGTGTGTCTGCCTGGTGCAGTGCATCTGATGTCTGAGTCAGTCCAGGCCCAGAAGGAGGAGACCCCAGGTAAAGGGAAATTGCAAAGACACGTGGCTCTATAACTCAGGAGAAAAGGGATGTCACCGCCTGTCTGAATACCCCTATGCACCATAGGCCCAGCCCACAATTTGGGGGTCAGGACAATCAAGCTGTGCATAAGCATGAAGATGCTTTTTTTTTTTTTTTTTTGAGTTGGAGTCTCACTATCGCCCAGACTGGAGTGCAGTGGCCGCTCCCGGCCACCGCAGCCTCGACCCGCTGGGGTCCGGTGATCCTTCCGCCTCAGCCTTCCGAGTAGCCGGAATTACAGGCATGCGCTACCACGCCCGGCTGATTTTTTGATTTATTGTAGAGATGAGGTCTCGCTGCCCAGGCGGGTCTCAAACCCGCAGGCTCAGGCAATCCATTCACCTCAGCCTCCCAAAGGCGCGGGGTGAAGATGCTTTTTAAGGCATTGATGGTAGAGAGTCAGCGGCATCTACAGCTCGGTTCTCTGGGCCCCTCACCCCCTCCCTCCTACACAGAAGGGTGGTATCTCAATTATGTGCTCAATCAGCAAATTGCCTGGCCAACTCCAGAGCAGAAAGCATTGAGGGCCCAGGGAGAGAGAGCCCTCTGCTAACCAGGATGCCGCTGCTCTTAGGACATAGTGCATAAGAGTGGGAGGCCCTCTAATGAGGCAGCATAGAAAGGATGGGGCTCAGGGTCCTTGCAAAATGACCAGAGACTTCTTTCCCCATACACAAATCTTAATCTAAGCAAACTGAATTATTTTTACAAATGAGGAATAAGTTTACACAGATAAATAAAAGGCAGAATATGCATTGTTTGCATCAAATTCTGTGCTCTCCCTATTCTACTGCACTGCCTCCAGTTTTGATGGTAGCTTTCCAGGACTTAGGGAATCATTGATTTAGAGGTGCGGAGTATGGTATC